AAATATCAATTGATATAAAATCAATATAATTATGCTGATATAAGTAATATCAATAATATTATTCCCATTTGACAGAGGAGGAGATTGAGGCTCAGAGAAGACTCCGCAAATATTGGCATGGCACTGGGCTGTCCTCAGTCCCATCCATCTGCCCCCTATTTATAAAGTTTCCCTTGGTAAACACGACCAATTTCGGGGTTTTAAATACCATCGTCAGGCTACTGATCCAAATCTACACCTCCAGCCCAGATGACTTACTTGACCTACTGACTCTCATGTAGTCTAAGGCCCTTTCCATCACATTGTTCCTCATCTGTTTTTTCTGTTATTCAAAATATAAAATATTGGCATATTCAGGCCACCAAGGAAAAGGTTCTTTGGTCTTTCATACTAACTCAGCCCGGAACCTCATAAGCCTTCATCTAAGTATACTGCTGCTATAGCAAACTCAGAAAATTGAGACAGTACAAATTTTCTGCATAAGAATTTCTTTTTGTTGCCCACTCCATGAACCCCATATTTTAAAATGTATTTTTTCTGGCTAACAGATTGTATGTTGTCTTAGTCTGTTCAGGCTGCTATAGCAACATGCCATAAACTAGGTGGTTTATAAATGGCAGAAATTTATTTCTCACAGTTCCAAGAGCTGGGAAGCCTACGATCAAGGCTCCAGCAGATTTGATGTCTGATGAGGGCCTGCATCATGTTTCAGAGATGGCACCTTCTCATTGTATCCTCACATGGTGGACAAGGCAAGGGAGCTTTCTGGGTCCTGTTTTTGTAAGGACACTAATCCCATTCATGAGGGCAGAGGCCTAATCACCTCCCAAAGGCCCTACCTCCTAATCGATCACATGTGTGATTAGGTTTCGATTAATGAATTTGGGGAGGACACACATATTCCATAGCACATGTATTAAAAATGAAATTATTAATTTTCATTTTGTAAGTCATCTAAGTTATATGATGGATATATGTTGGAAGACATATTCTTAGTATGAGACTGCTACAGATGTTTTCAATTATTCCTGAGCAAAAACCGGGCAAGTTCATGCTCCGGTACTCCTTTGCAATTGTTCTCATTAAGTTTTGTAAAATTCTGAAAAATAGCACTAAATCCCTAGGCTTGAAATTTCCACACTAAAAAGTTTCTTTATGACAATTCTGTTTTTCTAAGGACATGATAGAATCTCTGTTTAGGGACCTTCAAGATATGAGGTTATTGTGACACATTTTTATGTAGGTCTAGACCTGATTATGGAGTTAGGTGTTGTTTCCAGAATTATTCGAAGTCAGTGTTTTCTTCAGTTTGGATCACAGACCTGGCAATTTCTGCTCTAAAGCTATTTTCAAAATCCAAATCTGACCTAAATAACAGAATGCTACCAGTCTACATTAACTAACCTACGTTCTGTAATAATTAATATCCTCCAAAAAAAAAAAAATCAAGCAAGTTTTAAGTTTTTCTGTTATGATGAGATATCTCCCCAGAACACTAATTTTTTTTAGAGTATTCATGTTCCTTTGATTTAACTTAATCCGGTGAGCCAGATTTTTCCCAGAGGGTGAATGAAGAAGATCTGTTAACTCTTTCAGTGCCTGGCTTCCTGAAATCTCAGCAATGCCATGAGTATTGTTTCACCTCAGGCTTTATATTTTTTAAAAGTCAGCTGTCATTTTCAAAGCAATCCAAAATAGCACACTCAACAGATCCCTGGAGCTTTGGAAATGTTAATGCCCTCCATCAGCAGCGACCTTGCCAGGGGGAAGTGATTTAGGCGCTAGGGAGAAAAGGGCCCACTATCTTTATCACACTGGTTTACACCATCAACTTCAGAAATTGTGTGAGAGAAGAATAATCAATAGTGTGTTAAGACCAATCTCGAGCAATGCCAAGACAAAGTACTGCTGCTCTGCAAAATGCTGAGTTGAAGGAGAACTTTTGAATATAACAAAAGAGAAATTAGCTGCAGTAGTGAAACAAAATGAATTATGTCTCAAGATGGAATTTGTCATTGTAAATGACACTCAAGAGCTCTCTGCATACTTCAGTGGAATCACAGAATATGCATGGTGAAAAATGCTTATTTTAGAGTTAAACGACACAGAATCAAATAACAAAACGAGAATGAATGCATTGTAAATATACACATGCAAGTTAAGAATTAGCTCACCTAAATAGTCCTGAAAAGTTTACTGAAAAAAAGGATCTAGGAGAAGAATCATCTCCTCTGTAAAACTGGAAGAAACATAAAGTCAAACTTCATCGAAATTTCCTGAAAATGTTACTATATTTCCTATAATTCTAGTAAAGTTATCATCTCTTGATAACCAGCACCAAGTATAAAGCTTCTAAAAACAGCAAAGGAAGTGTCCCCACACCACCCTGAGTGAAATCACTGTGGAAAAGAACTGGCAGCTCAGTCCCTAAGATCATTACAATAAAATGTTTGATTTCCCACAGCAACCCTAATTGTGACATGAACAGCTGTCAACAACAAAATTAGAAGAAACTGTCATTATATGGATTTCATCCACACTTGCTTGTCCTAGTTCTACATCATTGCTCTAGAGAGTGTTTTCAAAGAATTCTTCCAGTAGAGATTTTCATTATTTAAATGAGAGTCATTCAAATTATTTGGCCTTATATGCTATACATGAAATACATTTGTCATGATAACAAGAATCTCAAACTGATGTTTATTGAATGCCAAATTCAAGTACATGAGAGTGTCTGAGATACAATTCATTTAATCCTGAAATCATCCTATAAAGTAAATATTACAATCCCTATTTTTAATATAGTTAATTCTCATTATTGGTTGTAGTTGTGTTCCATAAAGTCATTGCAAACACTGAATGAGCAAATACTGAACTGTTGCTCCTACAGGAAATATAGGGTTAGGCTCCTGTAAGCCACTGTTCACATTTTTGTCAACTGATCAATACATACCTTGTTTTATGTGTGTTTCTGTTTAAGGACAACTTATTTAATATGTATGGTCCATTCATTAGCATTGAACTCATAGCACCATAACTGAGGCTTGAACAAAGTTTATCTAACACACGTGTTTTCTCCCTAAAACACATCACATCCTTCTTGTGCTTAGGAACACTAGGCAGTACATCAGCCCTATGCTTCGGGGCCATTTTAAACATTAAAATCACCAAGAAAAAGCACAAAAATGTGAGGGGAAAAGGTGGTACTAAATAGACCACAAAAAAGACACTTGTTTACAGTATGAGAGCTGAAATAAGGAGGCAGAACATCACCTTCTCCAGCCTCAGCTGGGAACATGCATATAGAGTTACTCAAATTTTTTGCCACTCTGCCTATGTCCATGAAAGTGCTGTGAGTATTAATCTGGGGACTACATATAAATTTTAGTGAGTAGGTAAATTCGCAAACACGGAATCTGCGAATAATGAGGATTGACTGTATATGATGAAACTAAGAGTCAGAACATATAGTTGGTCACTCTGTATTTGTCTGGGTAATTCTGTTATATTAATGGTTGTACTTGTTTAAATTTTGAAATTAGAGTTCATTGAACGTAAAAATTCCATGAGAAATGTGAAAGAAATTGCATTGCACACTTCAGCATCATGATTTTAGGAGGAAACTCATATAACTTTCTTGACCTTTCAATGGTTCGTCCAGGTCTTTCAGGGATGTGGCCAGCCCAAACCTGCTCCAGCTCTCAGATCTGCCCGCTCAGCTCCTGAAAATTTTAATACACGCTTCAGGCCCTACAATCCTGAGGAAAGACCAACAACTGCTGCAGGCACAAGCTTGGACCGACTGGTGAGTATTCTTGGATTGATGAGCATGGCACATGTTCCGGGTTACCAAGGCAATTCTTCAAAGTACTTACGGGATTCTGAAAAAGTTGGTTATAAAAGACTTCTCATTCTTATATCTGCTTCTGTTCTTAATTAGAATATTGAAAGTAATGAGATCCTTCTTTTAGGTCATAAATTAGATTATTTAAGAAATCTTATATCTATTAATCCACTAGTGCAGTGACCAAATTTTCAACTTCATATTTCTTAGGAAATATTAATTTGAAAACTAAGCTACCAGTTCTTCCAGAAATATAATTACGATAGCACATTTCATATTCATCTGCTTCAGTTCTTTTCTAAAAATGATTATTTATTCAATTATGATACAATGTAACTTTATTATGACTTCTTTTATGCAATTTCCTGTTGGAAAGACTTTGCCAAGAAACTCCAAATCAATGTTACTACCATTTTTTCTTCTTCATGTGTCTTTAAAAAGTTGAAATCCTTAGAAGTAGTCACTCTTTGAGCTGTTTAGATGTATGTCGGGGGAATGAATGATATCTATCATCAAAGCAGTTTATTTGGAGAATACAACCATAAACATGGTAAACACAATTTTTCGAATATGTTTTAAAAACCAAATTTTACTATAAAAAAATTAAAACCCATAATTTCATAGTAACACTACCTGATTATTTTTCACTGAATTTCTTCAATTTATAGTACTATAAACTATTTATATACCTATAATTGTTAATACTATTAATGTTGCTTTGCCAATTATCTTGATGTAAAATTAACAAATTAAAACCCTTAAGGTCATAAAGCACTTGAACCACATCTGATTGTGTCATATAAACTGGGATCTCAAAGGATGCTAGTTATGAAAATACTTTTATTAGTCACTGTTATAAATTACTTTATGATTTTAGTTAATATCCTTCTACAGTGTGGAACTCATAAGATTAAATTGAGTTTAGCCTTGAAGTAACTACATCTCAGCAGTTCTCTCTATAAAAATCAAATGTACTTTACAACATAAGGACCTATCCATGAAGTGTCAAAATAAAGGGGTAATTGGAGTTGTTAACTGCTAAATTATTGGTGCAAATTTATTACCATTTATTAGCAAATATAGTCCCCACTTCAGTGTAGATTTTGGAAAAGGTATCAGATTTGTAATTATCACAACCTTCTACTTTACCTTACTTATATCTGTTCTTTATAACAGTTTCAGGGAAAGTTTAAAATTAGTCACTATTTTTCTTTTAAACAATTAGATTCCATGATCTAACAAACAATTAGATTTCTTTTAAACAAACAATTAGATTCCACCAAACCAGAAGTACAAATGGTGAGTATGGGTTTGATCCTTTTTTGCCCATTTTAGCTGGCTCTAACTTAGTTATTGGAATAATTCAGGATTTTCTGAATTTTTGTAAAATCTAATTTAAGAGCTGAGGTACAACATAAGAGGAATAAGTTCTAGAAATCTGATGTACAACATTGTGCCTGTAGATAACAATACTGTATGTATTGGACACTTAAAAATATGTTAGGGCAGATCTCATGTTATATACATTTGCCACAGTAAAACAAAATTTTAAAAAAAGAACTAGGGTACATTGTGCACTTAGTTAAAATTGCATGAAATTTGAACAACATAATGATATCTGTGACAGCTAATTAATTTTTTTCCCTTTGAAAAAGAGAAGCACAGTTTTCTCTTATCCCCAGGAGAAATAAACACACACCCTTTAAGAGGAAGTAGAGCAAGAAAAATGTTCCTCAAGACAACAATGTTTGTGCAGTTTAACACAAACTAAATAAAACATCAATACTTTGAGCATTTCACATGATGTTTAAAATCTGACTGATATGAAAATTGGGATTTGAACCTTTTATAAAGGACCGTCATTGGTAATATTCAAAATGCTCCAAATATAAGGGTCTTGAAGAGTATTGGCAACTAGCAAACTAAATGAAGATCTTCTATTTTGTGAACCTCCAAAAAACATATATTTAATCCATTTTTTCTGAAAATAATTGGTAGTAGTTAATTATATGATCATGAGTAAAATCCGAAGATCAGACTCAGTGCATAGGAATTCAAATCAACAACCCGATTTTAATCTAAAACATTCTCTGACGGTATGTAGTATTTACTTCCTCAAAGGTGTGGCTTCAGGCTCTGTAAGTGAATATTGCAGTTTTATTGACTTTTTTGTTTTATTAAATTCCGATCCCTTCCCAAAGTGTAAGAATAAATGATTTATAATTCACAGCCAGCCATAAGCCCACTTTGCTCAGCTCCTGAGAGCAAGGGGCTGTCTCCACATCAAAAGGAGCTGTGCCAGGGTTATCACTGGGAGACACAAGCTAGGCCTGAAGCTAATATCACAGTCTCTGTTTGCAGCCATTGGCTTCCCCAAAGCCTTCCTCCCTTTGAGGGTTCTTTATAGCTCTGAACATGGAAAGGTGGAGCAGCTGCCCTTGGCCAGACTGCTGTGCAGCAGTCAGCCTTGCTCATCTTCAAGAAGCAGACATCAGCACTCCATCCAGATGGCTCTCTAAGCCATTACAGCCTATTTAGACTATAAATCAGTCTCCTGTTATCTACTCCTGTTTTAATTTTCCCCTGAAAAGGTATATCCTGAATATTTATAAGAAGCATGTATTTGAGAAAAGGAGGATAATTAAAAAAAATTTCTCAAAGTATCTCAGCAGACAAAATATTCCAAATTCAAAGGCCAGCATTGAAAGAATACTCTGGTCACCCTACCGCTTTTGCCAAAATGAAAACAGCTATAAAGCTCTTGGAGAGTTACTTTTTAATACCATTTAAATTAGTACCTGTGGTAATAACTTC